ATAACTAATAAATAATTAAATAAACCAGTGCCATGTTATGGACTTATAATACTGTGTATCAACCAAGTTTTCATACTTGATACGATACTATCAACCGACTGCAATTAATATTAAATACAGTTGATATATATTCTTGTTAGTTAAGTTTAATACAAAATCATCACCCCTAGTTGGGATTTGAATTTGGTTTTTTTATGTTAAAGATCATGTTGTTTATGTTTTGGCATCACAATCATCAACGATTAATAAACCATCTTTATGTAATTTATAACGTAATTGGAGATTGATTTATTACAATTTGGGTCCTATTATATATTTAAAAGAACTCTATAATAATTTGGCCGTTCAACTTTGACTTAATTCGAAGCATAATTATTAGTTGCTTCGTTATTATTTGAGTTACGTGACGTACCGTATCTTTCGGAAAACGTAAAATAAAATAAAATTGTGTTCAATGAATAATAGACGAGAAACATGGAAGGAAATAAATAAAGAGACGACTTGTGGACACGAAAAAAGGGGAATGAAAATGTTTTATGTTTTTCCATTTACGGATACTGATGAAAATATTTATTAAATTATGACTTAGGCTCTGTTTGTTTTTTTCAAAATCAGCTTTTAATACCTCTGAAGTTTGATTCGGTCAAACCTTTTGGTATTAAGAGTCTTTGTTTTTTTTTTCTTTTCAAATAAGAGCTTAAAAGCCCTTATCAACCTCTGAAGATTTAAGTGGTAGAAAACCCCACAGACGGTTAGGGGTGTACAAAAAACAGCCAACCCGTGAAACTCGTCCAACCCAACCCACTAACAAAAACAAAGAGTTTATTGATTCAAATTTCAGACTTCAGATGTAAAAACAAACAGTTTGACTAATTCAAATTTCAGACATAAAAACAAACAGTCTGGCTGATTCAGATTTCAGACTTCAGCATCAGCTCTTATAAATCAGAAATGAAATCAGACTTCAATACCTTTTAAAAAAAACAAACGCCACCTTAAATTCTCTGATATTTTCGGTTATAACCCTGTCGGTTTGGGTCAACAAGTCTTTTCCATCACATGGAGTCAATAATAGCTTGGGCATCTTGTTGGGTGCGTTATGAGTCCACCAAAGATGACCGACGGATTAATGTTTAATGTTCGGAAGTCAGAAGAACATGTGTTTTGAACAGACTGTAATTATATAAATTAATATAAAAAAGAAGGGAGCTACGTTTGAGTTAAACTTGTAGATTAAAGTCTTCTTTTGTTTCTTGACGATGAAGATTAAGCTGATGAGCATATATTTATAACGTTTATTATTGTCGGAACAACAATATTAACAGTAAAACATGAATGTGGCCTAGCTATAAGGGATAGTGAGGGGTGATCTGGGTAAAACAACATTAATAGTAAAAATTTGAGGGATGTTTCGAAATATAGATTAAAACCCATCGTAATGGATCTTTGGACACTGGTTTCTCTCTAAATTCTAAATATCTTCATCATTAGGGGTGTAAAAGGTACGAGACAACTCGTGAGCTACTCGAGATCAACTCGGTCAATACTCGACTCGAATAGACTCGGCTTGAACTCGAGCTCGACTCGACATATTAACGACTCGAGTCGAGCTACCCATTTTTATATAATTATGTTTATACTTACGATTATCTGTTTTTGCTTCATCTGACGAGATATTTTCATGATTCTAAACTTCGGATCCCTGTCATCTGGGCTTGGATATTGAATTCTCACTTCATGTGCCTCTATTTTGACGTGGATGTTACTAAGCTGTTTTCCGATGCATATCAATGGTTTAAATTGCATAACCGAGAAGAAAAATATCTGATTTAAAGAAATACCGTTGAAAGTTAGAGCTTTGAATGGATGTTAAAATTTAATCATTAAATTTGTTGAAAATTTTGTTAGCACATTTAGCTTTTAACGGGTACAAAACAAAAGGAAATTAATCATTGGTTCTATAAATTGTTCTTTAAGGACCACCCTACAAGGGTAGACCTACATTCAATGGTACAGTCACCGCTTCATGATTTGTCGAAAGGGGAAAAAAATATGTTTCTGAAGGGTGTTACTGTATTATTTTATCTGGTGTAACCATATATTTTTGAAACTGAAATGTTAGTGCAAGACTTTAGCAGCATATATGATAAACATTATTGTCTTTGTATAAAAGGCCTAGGTTCAAGTCCCACTATTTGTAACTCTGTTGTTTTTTAGAAATATATGTAGACGAGATTTTAAACATGGTCTTTTCTGTGTAAAGACAAGAAACCAACCAATAGATCTTCTTTTGAACGACAACGTATATTAACAAAAGAAAATAAGAAAATCCAGAAGGTTCGAGCTTCTACGAAAGGCAGAAGCAGACAACAACATAAACGAAGACTGCAAACAAGAACTCGCAAAAAAAGAGCCACAACGCCAACGATAACCAAAACAAGACGAGCCACACAAAAATACATGAACCAACAAACTCACACTCGATCGCTACACCAATCCGGCCAAGAAAGGTTAAAATTCAAGTCCTTTCAATGTCACTGAAGAATTTTTTACTGTTCTTCAGGACCCGTAAGTTAAATCGAGTCACGTACAAGTCATTTATTTTTTTAGAAAAAAAAATAGATTTTCTTGATTAATTAACCACAAAGATGGTGCCTGATTGGTTTGAGTTTGGCTCCAAAGATCAAAAGTATCAGGATATCTCAGGTTCAAATCCAATGAGGAACAAAAATCCTCTTATGGGAGGTTCAAATATGGTGACTTCGAGCTATCTGCAAAGCATGTGGTCGTTCTGGGACCAGTCGGCTTGCATAGCGGATTGAATATCCAGGTTAATTAAAAAAAATCTTAAATTTAAAAGAATATTATAATAGGATTGATAAATTATGTGAACCCACTTGGTAAAATAGATCCGATAAGTCACGTAGATGATGATTATGACGACACAATATCAAATATTAACTGTTCCAAATCATTCTCAACTTGCATGAAAACGAAACATTGCATGCCTCGTCATATATGATTCAGATTGGGCTCCATCCCTCCTCAAACCTACTTTTTATATTTTATTATTTTTTTAATTTATTTATCCAAATATAAAAATTATTTATCAAAAAAAGTCTGTCTCTTAATAGTTTTAAAACTTTATTAATGATTTTGTATCTTAGGTTTTCCTTAACCATTTAACATCCTAATTTCATTGTAACAATTACCAAACAATTATATTTCATTTTACATTAAATATTGATGTCACTAAAACACCAAACGAACGTTAAAGTAACACAAACAATTTTTGACAAATTTCAATAAAAATATAAAGATCGATCCAAATCATTAATAAATGATTTATTTTTTATTTTGTATTTTAATAAATAAAAAAATAAATGTATATAAATAGATCCAGGGTATAATATATATTTTCTTAAGTAATATTATATTATATTATATTTTTAATTAATATTATGTTTTTATAAAGTCATAGATATATTTTCGTGGACATTTTGGGAAAAATCATATATTGACTTTCTGTATTTTCTTAAAAATGTTTGTTAAAAATAGAAGAAAATTATGTGGTTGTTAATATGTGTATTTTACAGCTAATCAATCGATTATTGCAACATAAAATAAGAGTCTATTTGACAGTTGTTAAATGGTTTAGTGTAGAATGATTAAGTGGTCGGAATGATTAAGAATCTCTCATGATATAGTGCAAAATGAAAAATAAATGTTTGATAATTGTTTACAATGAAATTAGGGAGCTGAATGGTTAAAGGAGACCTATGATACAAAATCATTCAGAGGATATTAGAACTATTAAGCGACAATTTTTTTTTGCCAAACAAGATTTATCTTTTAACGATTCAAAAACTGACTTTTAATGAAACTATTAAAAGGTAAACAAACAACCCCAAACTAATTTTGTTATCCATTCTATACTTCCTTTTTCTTTTACCCTCCATATTCTCATATTTAATAATATAAAATAAATACCGAACTTTTAATCTATTAAAAAGTGATACATTTATTATAAGTTTATTTGATATATGATTTATGTCATTTAACACATCGACAACCTATTAAAAGCTGGATGGGCTCCTGACATGTGGCACCTGCTAAGTCGATTATTATACGAGAACAACAATTCAGTGTTTGAAAGGTGCATTAATGTTAAATGACATAAATCAAATTGACACGATTGACTTTTTTCGGGATCAAATCGTGCTAATTTTACCGCAGATTAAACTGCTATTTTGTGGACCCTTAAAAATACACTAAGAGACCGTTTGCCTAAACACTTGCCCAGTAAGTACTTAACGGTAAAATTCAACATTATTGCTTACTTATCGGGTAAGATTTTATTCACTAAAACGCATCGTGTACAACAATTAATCCCGGTAAGCGCTAACCACGGTAAGAGTCCTCGTCCTCACTTACCGGGTAAGACTCTCGATTTTTGTCTTCGCTCTTACCGGGTAAGATTTTTAGTCCTTACCATATTCATCGGATAAAGTAAAGTAACTTGGTAAGCGCTTACCCGGATAAGCATTTGGTAAATGGCACCTAAATATCATAAATTTAATTTTTATATATGAATTATATTATATTATTTTTTATTAACCTGGATATCCAACCTGTTATGCGAGCCGACTAATCCCAAGGCGACCATCTACTTTACAGATAGCCTAGAGTCATCGCATTTGAACCTTCGTGGTCATAAGAGGATTTTTATTCTTTTTTGAATTTGAACCTGAGACATCCTGATACTTTTGATCTTTTGAAGTCAAACTTAAACCAATCAGATACCAACTTTTGGTTGAATTATATTATTTTTGTGTCTGGTTGAGAGTAAAAATGTCGTAGCCAAAGAGGAAAGGAGCAGTAGAAACTAAAAATGAAGGCGTGAGGGGTGTTGTAAGCCTGTTAACAAACGACACGCATCATGTGGATACCCCCACATCCTATAAATAAATTACATATTCATTCCTGCAAGTATTATAACCGCCACACTTCATCTCTCTCAATTTTTCCCTTCTTCTTTGCAATGAAAGTGGACCAAGAATTCAGCCAACAGCCACCTGACATCTGCCGCACCGTCCAGGTCAAGCTATCAACTATGCTCGCCGCTGATAACTTTGATTCCAATGGCAACGAGCTCTACACGCCTCCACTCAATTTCTCCATGGTTGATAATGGCATATTCCGTTCCGGATTCCCCGACACCCCTAACTTCTCCTTTCTCAAAACCCTAGGCCTACGCTCTATTGTGTATGTAATTCTTCTCTCTGTCTCTCTTTTCGTGTGTGTATACATATATATATGTATATGTATTGATCAATTCTGCAATACTGATAGCTGATGCCTGGATATCATCACAAATTCATTCCAACTTGTTTAACGAAATTTATTAATCGACGGTTGGAATTATGATTAATCCTGCCGTCACTGTCGATCAACTTGCATATTTGTTTTAAGAGAGAATTTGACTGTTTTTTTGGTGTTTTGTGTTTCTAGTTATTTGTGTCCTGAGCCATATCCGGAGCATAACGTGGAATTTTTGAAGGCTAATCGGATTCGATTGTTTCAGTTTGGAATTGAAGGCACTAAGGTATAGATTACAGTCTTACGACTTCAATTATCGTTGCTTCTCTAGTTGGTCAGATACTCAGATTTGAAGGTTGCTTTGATTCTGCACTCTTAGCGACGCTGTATTCGTTGTGTTTCTTCAGATTGATATTTAGACAAGGATGACTTATTGATTCTCATGAATCATGTGACTTAAAAGTATTAGAACAGTTTAATTTTTCATCCACTATGCTGCTATTTTTATAAGTTATAATCATATGTTTCAGTTTCCTAGACTTTATATTTTTCTTTCTCAAGTTGATAAACTAGTTGTAATTCTTTTGGAATTTATGGAATAAACAGTTTCTCGTGAGATAATTATGAATTTTCTATATTCCACTATGTTTAGAAAATTACTGGAGTTGGTGCTTGAAATTTTGATCTCCAAAGTAGATTACAATGGATACAGATTATTTTCCATGGAAACTGAGTGATAGGCTGGTAGCTAGTTGTACTTCTATTCGGCTTGGTAGCATGGTTTAAATTTCAAAACGTGCATTGTCTCCATTGTTTCAGAAGCCAAGCTCCATCTTAGCTGTATGAGTGCAATGTTCTCCCTTTCTCATCAAAGTGGCAATGTACCCTTATAATTTCAAAGAAAGCAAAGTACCAATAAAGTTCCTTTATCCATGACACCAAATATTCAAAGCTGCTTGGGACCATAGGTACTTGAGGACTACATTGTGTGGCCATGAAAAAGATTTCTAAAAGTGCACGGCAAATAATTACTATAACAGATCTCCTAATTGGTAATTAAACTACGCAATTATAGGAACTTGACTGGCTTCAGTTGAAATCTTGAATTGGTTTTTGCATTTATTCTTAAACAAATGATTATGGTCCATGTCTCTATGTACAACCTTTTTTTCTCCTAAATGTAGGATCATATCGAAATTCTTCAAAAGATGTTAGAATAGAAGTCTTTATCTTATAGCTCTTCAGCTTGGAGTGATGTTTTAAACTGATGCATATTTCATTGTCTCGAGTTTTTGACCACTCACCAAGTCTGGATTGGTGTATCTTAATATGTGTGTGGCAGTTCATTTGTATCCTCATTTGAATTGCTATGTGCTTGATTTTAGGCATCATACTTGTCTGACTCCTCTGTTGTAACAAAAAACACCTTGAACATATGCACACTCAGAGATCAGCATATATGATTCACAAGCACCAATGTTTTGACTAGCAAATGTAAATCTACGGTTGTCAACCAATGGTGATTACTTGCCTATTTGGTTTGCGTTTTGTAAAGAAGTTCTTTTATTTCCAGGGGACAAGGATAACTAGAAAGGTTTCAGGGTCGAATATAGCAAGTTTATTTATCACTTCATAAGTAGTTGGTCATATATTTGGAAACTTGTCATGTTGTATCTTATGGTGGAACAACCTCCTCATCATAAATCAGTAGCAGAAATAAGTTGTAGGATCGGTGACACAGAGTCAAGTATGGCTCTTGTCTCCAGGCTGCTCCAAATTTTTTATTCTAGTGAGCCATAAAATCATTTAGAATCATGTAGAAATTCACAAATAGAAGAACATAGGATATGAAATTAGCATGTTGCGTAAATAAGTAGCATGCAATTGCAATCAAGTAGATGGAATCGGTTATATCATGTTGCGTTGCTCCACTCCACTCCTACCCTAAACTCTAAACTTCTACCATGCAAGAAGAACTGAGATTAACAAACTTGTAAATTCTATTTCTTGTGTATGTCATTTTTGTCTGATATTTACAACTTTGAGCAAAGAGACTTAACATAATTGTTTCATATATATGATATTTTCATGGCATTATCCATCCAGGAACCTTTCGTCAATATTCCTGAGGACGCAATTCGTGAAGCATTAAAAGTTGTTCTTGGTATGTAATCTATGTCTTTAGTGTTGTTTAATTTACACTGAATTTAGAAGGAAGGGTTTTGGGCTTTTTCTTATTATACTCTGATGTTTGGCAGATGTAAGAAATCACCCTGTATTGATTCATTGCAAAAGAGGAAAGGTATGAGACATACTGTCATATTGTTCTCTATGTAGGTCCATTACCCATCTATAAGTTTGACATTGGTTCTTGTTGATTCCTTTTGTTTCAGCACCGAACTGGTTGTCTAGTAGGATGCTTGAGAAAAATTCAAAGGTGGTGCCTGACTTCAATTTTTGACGAGTACCAAAGGTTTGCAGCTGCCAAGGCTAGACTTTCAGATCAGAGGTTTATGGAACTGTTTGATACCTCCAGCTTCAAGGATATACCACCATGTCCATGTTTATGTTCGAAGAGGTAAAACACCGCATCGCTGAAAGGCTTCTTCATCCTTACCTTACTGGCCGGTTTGGGTTGGAATAAACTGGAATAGGCGTTCATTTCCCGGAATATGTTTAGCAGTTCAGGAGTTTTTAACGCTGTTAGGACTTTAGGCCCTTGGGCTCCCATTGCTCTATATTTGAGCTATTCTATTTTTGCCAAGTAAATCTGTTAATGTACCCTATCAAAAAATGAAAACCAAAGTATTTGGTTGATTCATGAGTTCTGTTGAGCATCTTGCCCTATGCTGAAAGAAAAATTGTATTATATCAGCATCATTGAGGTTTCTCATCCATCAATGCTAAAAGAAAGTATGTATTACCCAAGCAGCATCGGGGTTCTTTTCTTCACTCACGGTTCTTGCTTCAATATTAAAAGCAATGCTGCTGAAAAACTTATTCTACTGGTCTGTTCTTGTTAAGCTAATTTTATTGTTATGATATCCTGACACAACTTCTATGGTGGATGAGTTGTCTTATATGTACTTCTACTGGATCTATTAGTGTCATGTAATTCTTAGTGCTTTTGCTATGAGGGTTGCTTTGTATAGTATGTGTGAACAGGTATTTTTTTTAATTTTCTTTATAGCTCAATAGTTTTTTAGAAAATACCAACTGGCATGATCGGTCTACTACTGAGCAACCACATCTCTATAAAATGGTTGGCTTGTAACTTATTCATCTCTAATTTCTGTATTTTGCCTTGGAGGTATTAGAATATGATAACCATGTGCAGGCTCCTGCATGCATGGCAAGTGACTGCCAAGCAGAAAGAACTACACATACATAGCAGGTACAAGGAGCCACCCAAGACTGTTGGTTCAGGTTCCCTGTTAGTTTTTAGCACAGCATGCTTTCTGTTAACGTAACTATCTTTATCTGTCATGATCAGCGAACCCTATGTTATTACTTGCTTCACATAGATCGGTCAGATGTAGTATAAATGGGGTAGGTTTAGGAAAGTAGCATGATATTGCATCAAGACCTTGACATTTGACATTAAGACTTAATGAATAAGCTGATACATGAATCAAAACACTGGTGTATATCCCTTGCCTCTGGAAGCTCTTCACATTAGTCTCCCAAATCCAACCCAAAAGAACTCCCTTTCTGCTGGTTAGATTATCCCTGTGAACTTAATTCAATATAGCTGACGGTGATTATCATATGTGAACCTTCCAAGTCGGACTAATTAAGGCTAAAGTTATTGGTATATGAAACAACAAACATATTTCTATAATGTCGTCAACAACTGGATATCTGGTTGCCCATGAGTGGGAACGAAAAGGATATCTTCCCAAATCATTTCATTGTAAGTTTCCTCCTAATCAGTAGATATGAAAATGAGGAACTGAAATGATGGTTCAAATGGAATATAACTCCATAGAGAAGAGACCAGTTGTTGCAAATCTCAAACTGATTGTTCAAAAATTAAGATACCACAATGGGGTTGTGATTTTAGCTCTACAGAAAGCACCTGTTAGATGTGTATATTGTTAAGCTGCCTAGCTTTATAGCACTCCTTGATGTATGTGATATTCTTGTGTTATGCATATCAATATGCACGAGTTTGGTCATTTGAGCACTGGAACTCTATATCTGACATTCCAACCAGTAGTATGGTCGTTAGCCGGTTAAAGTCTTGCTGGTTTGTTGTCAACTGTCGAGTAATATTGGGTTTAATTTTTGGAACAATGATGCGGCAATCCAAATAGCTCTGTCTATTAGTGATGGTTTCTAAAGTTCTTTTACCTTACAAAGACGTGCAGCACATTAATACTTTTTGCTTGTGGTTTTGGGGGGGTCTACTTTTTGAACAATGGCGACAGAGACGGTTGTATGAATGGATTATTACTTCTGATAATAGAAGTTTTCTAAATAAGGATTGAACGGCATAAAATGTGAACCACCATATATATTCTTCTAATAGTGTTTGCTTTTATATTGATGCTTTCTATTTCTTTTTGGTGCTTGCAGTGTTGATTTTGCTCAAACGGAATCCAGTTGCACCTTGGTAGTCAAGAGATAAGGTTGGATCACTCACTATCTTACTTTTTCTTTACTTTAACAAATTGAAGGGCTAAGGTGGGGTATAGATTATTGGTCATAAAGCCAAATTTAACTTGTGAACATAGAAAACTTGATTCTCTAGGTCTATTTGTTGAAATTCCATTTACTTTGTTTCCCCTTTAGGATATTTAGTCTTTTCTTGTTGCTAGCATAAAAGCATGTGCTTTTCACAGGGCTGTTTAAGTGTTTATTCGTGTTGACTTATTGGTCGAAAAGAAAAGAATAAGTAAAGTTCAAGGTCTAAAATAAAATAAAATGAAAATACAAATTCAACGAAACTCGATGCACATAGGAGTTCAATGAAGACTCTCAACATGTAGGACTCTATCAGTATAACCAAAATGGATTTCACAAAAGTGTATGCAGTCGGGATTAAGGGTAGTTGATGGAACTGAATATACCACAAAACTCATCAAAGGTGTAAATCATTTAAGACCCTTTGTGCTTTTATATAAAGTATAGGTTGTGATTATTCTCATCGAACTCCTTAGTTTAGGTCATTATTTTCCTATGGCTATTGATGATTCAATCATGTCTGCGTACCAAATGGTTACCTTAATTATTAGTGCTGATGTTATTGATGCATTCTGGCTTTTGATTGTGGCTAAATCTACTAAATAGATTCACAACATATGTTATCATCATAGTAAACCAAAAGGAAAATAGAATTATACTGTAGGAAGGGATTGCAAAACAGATGAGTATTCTAAACGATACACTCTTTTTTTATTTCAAAAAAATCATGCTATACTCTTTAAGAGAATAAAATACAGTTAAGTGAAAGTTACTGTATTTTATTCTAAATGATACAGTAAAATGAAAATTTAAAGAGAACAAAATACAATAAATAATTAATAAAATTAAAAAAGGGAGGCATATTTGATGATTTAGAAGGGAATTAAGTTTGTTTTTAGGGTATATTGGTAAAATATAGGCTACTTCCATAGGCATATAAAGGTTATGCTAAATGTGGAATCGTGTTCGTTCTGATGTATCAAATGCACCCTAACCAAGCACACTCTTTCATAGCATAAAAGGTACTGAAACTAATTGCACATCCTTTTATCAATTCTACAGATTTTTTAATCCCCAAAAGAAATAAGATTTGAAACAAGCATGTTTGTTTTAGGAACCGAAGCTGTTGTAGCTGGACCTGAACCCGGACATTTTCTTTTACCAGTTAGGGACCTGGCCCAGGTTCAAAATTTAGGACCAAAATAGACTTTTTCCTATAACGGGTCCTTGGGCTGGCCTTGTTTAACCTGTCCTTTTTAGTTTCTCGGTCCTTACCGGGCGTTTGTGCATCTCTAGTCATCAGATACAAACGTTGGGTACGCTTTTTCTTCCGCTGCTGCTCTCTTCTCCACTATCACTAATGGGTAGTCGGATCAAAGCATCATTCACTGGGTTGTAATTTTAAACTAAACCAAACAAAGCCTGAATATCCTACTTGAAAGTAGGTAGGGTATGAGGGTGGGATCTGGGATTTACACAAAGTCGGTAGGGCGGTTGATTCCCTGGTGAAGACTTTGTTTGTGGAAAACGAAAAGGTAGGTGGCGTTTGTTTTTTAAGAGGTGCTGAAGTCTGAAGTTTGAATTCACTTTTGATTTTTAAGAGGTGGTGCTGAAGTCTGAAATCTGAATCAATCAGACTGTTTGTTTTTTGCGTCTGAAATCTGAAGTTTGAAGATGAGAGATCGAGAGTTGATATGGATTGACAGTTAACAGAGTTGAGAGATGAGAGATCGAGACATAAGAGTTGATCCAGAGAAATCGAGCGTAAAGAGATCAGAGTAGGTAGGCGACGACTTGAAATAAGAGATAATAAGAGGTTTCTCAACCACTTAAATTTTCAGACCTAATAAGAGCTTTTAAGCTCTTAATTGGAAAAAAAAAAAAACACACTGAATCCTCTTATGTCTGACCGATTCAGACTTAAAAGGACATTAAGAGTTTTTTTACTAAAAACAAACAACAAAGAGTTGGTGCTGAAGTCTGAAATCTGAATCAGTCAGACTGTTTGTTTTTTGTGTCTGAAATCTGAAGTTTGAAGATGAGAGATCGAGAGTTGATATGGATCGACAGTTGACAAAGTTGAGAGATGAGAGATCGAGACAGAAGAGTTGATCCAGAGAAATCGAGCGCAAAGAGATCAGAGTAGATAGGTGACGATTTGAAATAAGAGGTAATAAGAGGTTTCGCAATCACTGAAATTTTAAGACCTAATAAGAGTTTTTAAGCTCTTAATTGAAGGGGAAAAACACACTAAATCCTCTTATGTCTGACCGATTCAGACTTAAGAGGACATTAAGAGCTTTTTTATTAAAAAAACAGCCCTTAAGACTAGTAAATAGTGAGTAATGGAAAAAGAAAATTTCGGTAGTCACCTTCCATTCCATGCATGAAACCACTCCGGCCTGTTTGGTTTGACGGAATGTTTCGAAGGATTCGGATTTTGTGGAAGGATTTGGAATCTTTGTTTTGTTTGTAGGATTTTGAATGAAATTGAACTTCATTCCTTATAAATATTTATAGAAACAAATTATAAGAAATAATTAAATTATTTTAAGTCATTACAAAACAAGTGTTTTTAACATAATTTAAAACATTATTACATAATGAAATCCTGTAAAATGCCAACTACCTCCATGGGATTTTGTAGGATTTCAAATCCAAGCATGTTCAAGCCAAACATTAGATTAGAATGGAATTCAATTCCAAATCCTACAAACCAAATTGTACCTTCAAGTTTTAGTATTTAATGGTTTTTCTTAGAATGAAAGATGATCATGGAATGTTTGTGTTGGGATAGGTTTCAATTTGGTCGCCAAGGTTGATGACAATAGTCCTTGAGCAGCTGGAGTCCACTTACTTTCTCAATCTTGGAAGAGCAAAATGATGTAACTGCTCACCAGCGTAGGTATGTGGGATTCAGTCCTTTGATCAAATCTGGGGTAGGGCATGGTGACTACGACCTATGAAGCTCCGAACGGGGTCCCGTGCATCCTTTCGACTTATTTTCATAAGTAAAATCTTTTTTAGGTATGAAAGGTGCATCCACTAAACTTTGAGGAGTGCTTTGAGATATTCTTCGAAAATACAAGTAACATCAACCAAAAAACTTAAAAAAGTCCATCGAAGTCCACCAAAAACCAGAAAAAGCCTCTCGAAAAAAGTCCCTGGAAATCAACTTAAAACTTAAGTAATTCTTTCAAACAGTGAAATTTGGCTAAAAATACATAGGACGATTTTACAAAACCGTTGTTGCGTAATACTAACCTCGTTCCAAAATATGGAACATTTGACCCATGGAACTACAGAAGGCTAACCTGTCTCCAATCCAAAATTCTCTATTTTCTCTACCAAATCCTCCATTATTTTCCTGCATTCGTGTATTTTAAGGTAGCTACTAAATTGTTTTGGTCAAAATTGATGTATTGTTTGTAACTTATGGTGAGTTACAAAACTTAACAACCAAGCGTCACCTTAGACAACTAATGGTGAGTTAGAAAACTTAACATTTTAATAGCGTGATTATAGCTTAACATCATTATACATACTTTTGTTATCATTGGCCTAATTTTGACGAGGCTTAAATACCGTAACGATGGTGATTATGACGTAGAGTCGTGATGCATAAATTGTTGACGCATGTATATCCTAATTTTGTCGAGATAAGGACTATAATTTTACCCTTTTTATTGTAACTTTAATTTTGTCGAGATAAGGAGTATAATTGGAAGAGTACAAAGAATCATCTTATTAGCATCTAACATAACATACAATTAAAAGCACTATTTTTATAAACATGTAAAAACAACGAGTGACAAACGAATAAAATTGAATTGAACTAAACTTGTCTGTTTGAAATTGGCTTAACGAGAACATCTATACTTTTGACTAGAGCTTTTCTTATTATTGTGTAAAATTCTTAAATTCTTTTTGCATATTCAACTTAATTATCAATCATTCAACCCCCCTCCTTTATTTATTGTTTTAAATCTAATGCACGTAATTACATCTTGGACTTACGGTTGACACCGAGTCCCTAAAGAGACGACTCTACTAATCACTATCACAATCCATTGTGTTTAGAGGTAATAGGAAATTTATAATTAGAAAACTCCCCAAAATCGTGCTCCTAATTTGAAACCAATCCTAGGTGTTGTTCTCTGAAAATTCTCGATCAATCCTCCTCCTTGATGGTTAACAAGAACCGCTTGAAATTATATAAGAATGGTGGATTGAATAATGTGTTTGTGTCTAAATATGTAACAATCTCTAACGCAACATGATTGCCACTAAAGCATCAAGTAAGAGCTTTGGCCTCTTCAACCACACATTTATTGTTAGCAAAATCAACAAAATAAAAATAAAAGTTACAAAGTGTTTTTGCATTAAAATTAAATTTTATTTATATTGACATCTTCGTTGGGGCAAGTGCCCCCTACCCATACATGTAAATCTACTAGTGCCCCTAAATGAAGATCAAATTCCTTTTGTATCGATAGGTAAATGTCCCTTCTAAATATTGTAAATTGTCTGAATTGATCGCTTTAACGTAATTTTGTGTTTTTTAATTGATTTTAAGAAATATTATATCAAGTTTCACAGTGTTTTTATTAATTGTCAAGATTAACGAAATCAAATGAACCCACTAAATACAAATAAAGTGGGGCGTGGGGAGGATAAGATGTACCGAATCTTTCATTTATGTCAAGTAGTAAAAAGACTGTTCTCGAAAAGACCATCAAGAACACACACCCAATTTATTTTATTTTAAGTAAATTTTACAAAACATATTATTATTAAAAAGAAAAACAATTTGTAAAAGATTCTTTCGAAAACATATCACATCCGACTAAAATGGATATAGAAAGAGGATCTGACACCTCATATCAACTAATAGAACGAGCACTTATTCGACTTCAAAGGGTTCACCTTGCCTCTTTGCATAAGAACTGATGTTTAGTTGGTTTACATGTTGCACTTTTGAAAAAGATGCAAGGTCATTGCTCTGGTCGATCTTATGCCTGATAAGGTGTGTTCTTGGATTGTGTTGATCAAATCAATACTGAATCTTGGCTTTTGAGCATCCTCGATTTGCCGACAAGTTCCTTTGTAGAAAATCATTATTCGGTCTTTTGTATCCCCATCTCTTGATCTTAAAGATGATCATATATAAGTCTCTGAAGTTCGATGTGTGTGTGAACGACGAAGGCCACAAATGCCATATCAACCTGGATTGGTTATTTATGCTAATAAAATGCACTTTTCAATTAATGTGTTCAAATTTTTGAAACTCGGGTTATGTTTTTTTTTTTGTCATAAGTATGAAGATTCAAAACTTAAACGATACGGAAATTTCAACAAGAAAACACGTTTTTTTAATGTTATTGTATAAGAATATAAATACTAAAATTGAAGTATAAACATTAATAACAAGTAATAACCAAAAAAATCAAAAAAAAAAAAATTACCTGGGTACAGTACGGATCGCCCCGGGGTGAGGTCAAACACGGTCAACGAGGGATGAACAGTAATCTCGACTTTTGAGGAATTTTTTTTTAAGACTTATAGGGGGATCGCCCCCGTAGTGTACGGATCGCCCTCGGGAGCGATCCGTGTGGTCATTTCGGTAAAACCTCTAAAATGTGATTATTTTGTGGCAAAGAGTTGTATAAACCGGTTATTTTTATAAATACACCTAAAATAATTACTTGAATTGTAGAAATTAAAACCATGTTGGTATTAAAATAGTGTCAAAATAAATATAATAATTTAAGTATTTTTTACAAGCATGATGTTTAACTTGTCATATATATCAAAAAAAATATTTAAATAATTAAATATCTAAAAAAACATAAAATGATTAATAAACAATTAACTTAGGAGTTATTTGACAGTTATTGAATGATTTTGATACAAAATGATTAAGTGATCAGAATGATTAAAAGACTCTCATGATATAATGCAAAATAAAATATAATTGTTTGGTAATTGTTTATAATGAAATCAAGACGCTTAATGGTTAAGGGAGACTTATGATACAAAATTATTCAGATGATTTTAGAACCATTAAGAGGCAAAAAAAATTGCCGAACAATAATCACCTCTTAACAATCTAGAGGTTTTCTCTTAATAGAACTATTAAAAATAAATAAACAACCCCTTCAATTTACAAAGTAATTAATTTGCAAATTTTTAATCAACCAAGATAAAAATAGTTGCATTTTTTCAGGAGCTATGACAAATAATGAATTATACCATTTCATTATTAATCAAATATTTTAAATCAATGCCCAATAAAGTAAAATAGTTCTATAATTCAAACCCAATCAGATCGGGTTTTTTTTGTGGTCAAAAGTATTCGGACCAGTTTATCTGTATATCAATTTTTTTTGTAAGACCTTAAAGAACAGACAGATGAATGTCCGATGGCCTTGACAAATATGGATTTGAACTTTGTTTAAATTTAAGTGGTAAACATATATGAAATGCAAAATTATTAACCGATAAACCTGACGTGTATACAGACGAACAACCAGTATGACGGGAATCTTGATCTTTGTCGTCCAAACACACACATCAAGCTTCATTTGCTTCTTTTTATGACGATTGTTTGAAAAAAAAACGAAATCAGAAATCAATAAAATCCACAAAGAATTATTAGGGTTTATATATATGTGTTGTTATTGTGGATTTGGTACTACACATGTACTTCACTCTTAGTACTATCGTTTGCTAATTTATGGAACGTGCACAAGATTCATAATTTATAACCCACGTGGCTAAAAAAATATGTAATACTTTTGTTATGAAAATTGATTTTAATACAACAACGAATTAAAATGGGTTTTTTTGAGTTAATGAATTTTAAATCTAGTTAAATTGTATTTTGAGTCGATTAATGAAATCTTGGCGATACAACGGCGACCGCTCATTAAAACTATTGCCGACAACAGAGGTGTTCATGGGCAACAGTGGGTAAAACCCACAATTCAGTTGATTTGCTTTAAAATCTTAATCGATGGTTATATGTTGTTGGCAGTGGTTGATACACTTGTTTGTGGGTAGTGAAACCAAGCTTTAAAGAAAATTATAAGAACTTAGCGTTATGTTTTCTCTTTATTTACCTCAAACATCCATCTTTTTTGTCGTGTCCTCCAACTGCCTCCACATCCAAGAGTTTTTTACGATCAATAAACTCATGTACAAGTAAATTGAATAAAATAACAGTATATTGTGGGTGATTCAGTTTTGGAATTTTTTACACGCTTAGATGTGTCCCCAACCACCTAAAATTCTGGATCCGTCACTGATTGTTGGGATTTGTTTAGGAACATATTAGAAACATAAACAAAAAGAAAATCCTATATTTTGCAATGAATCACAAATGGGTCACATGTCGGGTTGGGATGCGGTTATCGGGTAGAGAAGAAACACCGAGATCCACTTTATCTGGACCGGGTTTTCACCGGTGGGTTGGGTGCAAACAAGATGCATTTGAATGTATGATTCAAGTCATTGGGTTGGGTTAGGATATTGGGCCGAAGCTGGTTTATGAAATTGGGCATTTAGATTTTGGAGAACAATAATAAATATATAAATGATTAAATTAATTCTGATAAACAAATTTAATTATTTATACCATCTTAAACTTATCAAAATGGTCCCAATATAATTACATTTTATCCCCTGTAAATGTTTAGATTTTGATACTCTAAGAACTCGATGTCGTTGCATGATCCTGTATTTGATGAGCCAAAATTGACATGTTAGAATGCCTATATTTGTCTTAATATAAAAACTATAACTCTAGAAGAATACTCATACAATACAACGAGATAATATTTCGTTTTTTTTTCTATGTCAATATAATACGATATTATGTGACTTTAAGAAATCGATAATGTTTATCTTCATAAAAATTTAAAAAAAATCAATATTAGTATCAAATTAAGTATTTAAAAATTCTCGTTTTTATATGTAATTTCTTTAATTCAATTTTTTTATTATAATTTAATTTATATTTAATAACGAAATAATTTATGTTTGATTTAATGATATAATTTTTTATAAGGATAATAATTAAGTATTCTGTTAGAACTCAATGATTATCTTAATTATATTTTGAATTTTTCATACTTAAAATGAAACGTTTATCTTGTATTTGACTATATTTATCTGCAGTTAGTTACCCGAATTCAAACATGAATCTTTAATAAGTCGTATTTGCGCACAATTTATTTGTAATCTTGAATTTTAAGTAATATACATCAATAAACGGTACTCCATGCGTAAAAAAAATGTTTTTTAAAAGTTTTTGTCAAATGCTTTATAATATAGTACAAATATAGATTAATTTTATTAAAACTAGAAGGGTGCTCACATAATATAGCTAGATATATCTCAATTTTAATGTTTCATTTTATTATTTATCTTTGTCGATATAATACGGTTTTTAGTGATTTTTGAGAAAACGATAATGTTTTTATTTTTGAATAAATATAAATTTAAAGATACCATTAAAATTTGGAAATATATATCATTAATAGTATCAAATTTAATATTTAAAGTTATCGTTTTTGTATAATTTTTAAGTATTTTATTATAACTAGTGATACTCCTAATTATATTTTAGATTTTTATATTCAAAATGAGATATTTATCTTGTATTTGATTATGTTTATCTATAGTTAGTTGCACAAATTCAAAAATAAAGCTTTAATAAGTTGTACTTATGAACAATTTACTTATGATCTTGAATTTTATGTAATATGCATTAATAAACAATACTTTATGCATAAAAAATAATTTTTTAAAAGTTTTTTTCAAATACTTTATAATATATATCTATAGATATATATTATACAAGCCGAAAACAAAGTGGCACGCGTTTGGCCCAATTATGATGGACATTTTGGCCCATTTAGTTATAGTCAACTTTAAGCCCATATATTTGACCATGACAAGACAAACTAACCCTACAAAACCCTAATCCCCAATTTCTTTTCAGAGCTCGATAGTTTTAGTGAAGAGACGTCCCCTTTGCCGGCGGTGACTCTTACGGCTGCTTTTTCCCAACCATACATTCAATCACCGTAAGTTTCTAACTCCTTTCTCTCACCATCTCGATTTAATGCATGTTCCACTACATCGTTTATAGTGGGTAGTTTTACGTATGATTCAGTTCATACATCGTTTCTTCTAGTTTACATCGTTCATTTGATTCGTATATGTAATCCTTTGGCTAATTGAAAATACGAGTAGAACAAGAATGAATCGCTGCAAATTACTTGATGCGTTTGAGATTTTCTTTGGCACTGGTAAATTTTAGTTAGGTAAATTATGAGATCAAGCAATTTAAAATTGACGAGGAGTTTGTTGGTAGTGTTATAGCAATGCGTTTCTATCTGATGTTTTAGGTATCAGGTTTTATGCCCTTGTCATGGAAATTGTATACGATTGGTACTGAATTTGATGTAGAAAGGAAATTTATTCACCCCGAAATCGTTTGTTTGTAACTGTGTGAATGGCCTATCCGTATTAATGTATGGAATCGGATGTCATATTTTCATCATTGTGCTTCTTCTTTTTCAGTGAATTTACGATAATATTATTGGCATATTACTATTTTGTATCGAAATTTTGTTTTTTATGACTTCTGAGAAATAAGTTGGTTTAAATTTTATTTGAAGCCTTTGAGACTAGTCTTAAGCTAGACGTACATAGTGCATAACCGTACAGCAATGGGAGGTCATATTGACTTAATAATATAAGTGTTTTTAGTGTGAAGAAATGGTTGAAGTTGCAAAGGCAGGACAAGTTGTTCCTGAGTCCGTATTGAAGAAGCAAAAGAGAAGCGAGGAATGGGATTTGGCAAAGAAGCAAGAGTCCGAACTCTTGAAGAAGAAGAAAGCTGCTGACAGAAAGTTGATTTTCAATAGGGCAAAACAGTACAGCAAAGAGTATGAGGATCAGGTATGGTCATTTCTGCTTCTTTTTGTTTTGAGGTCTGTTTCTGTTTCTAATATTTTGGTTCCAAGGGAGTTGGTTCTTTTGCGGGTGGGATATGTTGGGCTTGTCTAGTTTGGTTGTTTTGATTACTGATATATGTGGATTTTGTTTTACAGCAAAAGGAGCTAATCCAGTTGAAGCGTGAAGCAAGGTTGAAAGGGGGATTCTATGTGAATCCTGAAGCCAAGATGTTGTTCATCATTCGTATCCGTGGGTGAGTGTTGTCTCTTTATTTCAGTTCTCTTTACTTTTGTTTCTGCTACTTTGTTCCCAATTTTGTAATTTTTTTTGCAAATGATACAAGTGTAATACTTTTTGTTCTTGTTTGAAATGTTCAGTATCAATGCCATGGACCCTAAGTCAAAGAAGATCTTGCAGCTCTTACGTTTGAGACAGGTAATTTTCCAAACTGCTTTATGTTGTTTCGTTTGACTGTTCTTTCGTGTGGAACATATGTTGATAATTGGGGTATATATGTGTAAAAAGGGAACCCAAATAATGGACAACAGAGGAGCCTCTATTAAATGAAGTGTAAACGCCCTTAGTATTTACAATGGTTGGATTAAAGTAGATGGTTGGTTTAGATGGGTTCTTTTGTTTATGCAGTTTCTCATTGGGTAGCTGATGAAACGAACTTGATAGAATATGTGCTCAGTATTGTTATCAAATACATGTTTTCAGGGTTAGAGGGAAGTGATTTTAGTTGTATTCACCTTTGTTATCAAAGCGACCCTTGTTGGTTAAAGATGCACGTCTCTTGCCATTGATTGATGACTTTTTTTTTTGTAAGGGTGTCCGGGCCAAAGCCCGACTAATCCCCGGCAATTTTTGGAGGCTAAACATGGCCCCACTTAAATGTCGCCAACACTCCCCTCCCAGGGCTCGAACTCGGATTCATGACTATGCCATGCCCAAGCCTTACCACTAGGCTGGAAGGTCTTTGATTGATGACTTCATGGACATAATTTCATAAAATCAACACGAAGATTCATCTGGTTTTATATCGTTGTTTTAAATGCAATCCAATTGGGAAATGAGATTCATGGAACTTTGTAAAAGTTTCATTGAATCTTTATATTTTTTGTGGTTTTCTTATTCTCCATGCATGTGTTTGATCTTTTTGTTTCTAATAACCAGATATTTAACGGTGTCTTCTTGAAAGTCAACAAGGCAACATTGAATATGCTCCACAGGGTGGAACCATATGTTACTTACGGGTGTGTATCTTTGCAAGTGGATTAGATTAAATTTGTCGAGTCCTTCATTACTGATTGTTCATTGAATACATTCTTCCTTCTTCACAGGTACCCGAATCTGAAGAGTGTTAAAGAACTTATTTACAAGAGGGGGTATGGAAAGCTCAACAAACAAAGAATTCCCCTGACTGACAATTCTATTGTTGAACAAGTCTGTTTTCTTTCTCAGTTCTCTTTTACTGCTTGTTTACCTTTTCACCATCCTGAACCAAACTAAACCAAACAAATCCAGAGGGCAAAAAGACCATAACGCCCATCACTTAACAGCAGCAGCTAACGGCCCTAACGACCGTGTAATGACGATTGAGTGATTTATATTTGTGTGTTTGTGTTGGACAGGGTCTTGGTAAATTCGGGTTGATCTGTGTGGAAGATCTGATTCATGAGATCTTGACTGCTGGTCCTCACTTCAAGGAAGCCAACAACTTCCTGTGGCCATTTAAGCTGAAGGCACCTTTGGGTGGGTTGAAGAAGAAGAGGAACCACTACGTTGAAGGCGGAGATGCTGGAAATCGTGAAGATTTTATCAACGAGCTCATCAGGAGAATGAACTAGATACATCGACTCTTTTTGCTTTGCTTCCCGTAATCGATCTCTTGTGAGGAGGAATTTTTGAATTTTATGCTTTACTACTTTTGCAACAGTAGCATCATGTCCATGGCGTCGTCTTATTACAACCAAACATTTGTTTTTCTGCCTACTTCACATTATTTGTGCGTCTTAAATCCACAGGGAATGTTTGGACTCAAGAGCAATATATGATTGCCAGGCGGCTGATTGTAAAATGCTTATTGGGTGAGCATGACAAAGGACTAATAAGCATATAATGTAAGAGCCATAACAAATTGAAATCCTAAAATCCTTAGTCTTATTGATTCCTCAAGAAATGTCATCCAAAATCATAACAAATAGTACATGGCCTTCTGCCTATCCTTGGTGTAGTCTTATTGCCACTAGGGTCTTGACGGAAATCATCGACTGTCCATATGTATTGTGGATCGCTCCGACATACGCTCCTTGCAATTACTTGCCAAGGAACTCTATCTTAGGCATTCTTTAGATTCATCAACACTTTGGTTTATTTAGTTGTCGGGTAGTCCTAAGCGTACGAATTTTCAAATGGACAACTAAAGGCTTGCTAATCAACGGTGTAACATGACTTATATGTCCGTGTCAACTAATATCTATCTGGATCTATTTGATTTCTTTGTAAATCAAAGATTTGCAAAAGTAAAAAAAGGATTTCTACACTATACGTATCATAGACTTAAATATGACAGGGATTTGAACCCATGTTTTTTATACTTTTACAAGAGAGGCATGTGAGAAGGATTGTAACAAACTTTTCTTCCAAGCCCGATGGGGCAATTTTGGGCTTCAAAAGTAACACAAAAATCAATTTATACATCACAAATCGATAATTGCGGGGTTTAGTTTTTTCAAACATATGCAAGTGTTTCAAACCCATCAAGCCTTTTTTTTTTTATTAACCTGGGTATCCAACCAGCTATGCGAGCTGACCAATCCAGAGTGACCACCTGCTTTGCAGATAGCTTGGAGTTACCGCATTTGAACCTCCGTGGCTACAAGGGGATTTTTATTACTTCTTGGATTTGAACTAAGGCCTCCTGATACTTTTGATATTTGAAGTCAATTTCAAACCAATCAAACACTATTCTTATGATTATTAATCCTTATTATTTGATGAAGTGTTGAAGCATTGTGGTATTGATTGAATCTAGTTTTTGAAGATGAAAATGGATTTGATTTGTTTAAGAATGAGAATGTGTGACATATGACCAATTTTATATTAAAATGGTATTGGTTTAATCTGAAGGACAAAAAATAAGCACATTACAAGAGTGGTAGTGGTAAATAGTAATGGATGTGTAATTGGGTCACAAGAGCCACCAATAATGGAATTTGTAAAGGTAAGTGCGAGGCAGACAGGCAAGGGGAATCTCTGTCTCATGTCATTCGGATTTTACGTAAATGTATATTCATCACAAACCACAATTATTATATATATATATATATATATATATATCTTACACACACACATATATATATATATATATATTATAAAGTATTTGATAAAAAATCTTAAAAACCATTTTTTATATATGAAGTACTAATTATTGATACATATTACTTAAAATTCAAAATTACAAGTAAATTGTGCGTAAGTACAACTTATTAAAGCTTTATATTTGAAATCGTTTAACTAACTGATAAAAATAATCAAATAGAAGATAAACATCTTATTTTAAATATAAAAAATCTATAAAAATAATTAGGATAATCATTGAGTTCTAACAAAATACTTAATTGTCATATTTATAAAAAGTTATATTATCAAACCAAAAATAAAAAAATGAATTAAAGAAATACATAAAAAATGAAAAAATTTAAATAATTAGTTTGGTATGAAATCAAAAAGAATTTCAATTCTTATGATATCTTTATATTCATATATTATTCAAAAATAAAAACATTATCGTTTTCTCAAAATCACATAAAATCGTATTATAAAATCGACTGAAACAAAAAAAACACTAAAATCAAGATGTATATCTCTGCATTGTGCGGGTACCCTTCTAGTATATATATAATTTAATTGAATTTTTATTATAATTCAATTTAGGTTTAATAGTGAAGTAATTTATTTTTTATTAACAACATAAATTTTATAAAGATGATGATTCTTTTAGAACTTAATCATTATCATATTTATATTTTAGATTTTTTATATTTAAAATAAAATATTTATCCTATAATTGATTATATTCAATTAGAATTAGTTTTGCAAATTCAAAAATAAAACTTTAATAAGTTATACTTACACATGAGAACAAAGAATATTCAAAAAACTTGCAACCAACTATTTTCATGAAGCATTCATGGTAATAGTCTCATGAATATGTATAACAACATTAATCTCTATATGAATCTGTTAAAAATAAGAATTCAAATAGTGAAGGATCCTATGCAACTTTAAGATAAAAAAAACACCACTTTAACTTTGATGGTTAACAGCAGCAGCAGCAGGAGGAAGGTTGACCACTTTACTAAATTCCCACTTATTTTCAAGCACCTACTGGTCTTATTATATATGAATACTACAAATTTCATATCATTATCATTATCATCATAATAATAACCATTAATTCCAAAATGAATTAATTATACCCACTGTCACTGACTCACTACCAACATTACAAAATCTACCCATCAAATTCAAAAACATTTACTAATCTACACTTAATAAATACTCCCTTCACCTTCACCTTCACCTTCACCTTCACCTTCACCTTCACCTTCACCTTCACCTTCTTCAATAGCCTGTGGGGAACTCACATTTCCCATATTCTGCAAAACAACATCAAACCCATTCACTAATGAATAAAAGCAAGTGTCTTTCTTTTCTTTTCTTTTTTTATGCTCATAAATATTCAAAATCTTGACCACTTCTTTAACTTTTGGGACCAATCTTGAATGGTGAAATCAAATTAAGGTAAAAGCAGCATTTATTGAATATTCATTTAGGCCCATAATCCAAACCCATCTGCTACTACTACTTTATTTGGCCCACTCCACTCCAACATCATGTCAGAAGAGTCAGACAAGAACCACCGTCAAACTACATACAGTCCAGGTGCGCATGTTAGTCAATGCCAATTAAGTCTCCATGTCCTTGATATTACCAAACCATAACTATATTAAAACATTTCATGTATTGAAATAAGATCTAAGACATTAGACAACAAAAACTTTAGGAAATCGACCGAAATGGCTATTTCTCTCTCATCAATTACCCATTCTTTTTACTACCTAACTCCTCTACTTAGAAATTGTTTAGGAGAGCAACCAATCGATGTGAGAGAGACGACACCAAAATGGATGAAATTAAGAAACTGCACTTAACAAATTGAAACCCTAAAATCCTTGGTCTTATCGAGTGTTTCAAATCCATGTACCAAATTCCCCTTAAGGGGCTGTTTCGCAATTAGGGAATGGTTTGGTTCAAAATGATTAACAGACTCTTATAATATAGTACAAAATGAAATATAATTGTTTGGTAATTGTGCAAAATGAAATAAACGCTCTTAATGGTTAAGGGAGATTCAGGACAAAAAATCATTCAAAGGGTTTTTTTTTTTTTGTCAAACAAGAATCCCCACTTAACAATTCAGAGGTTGTCTCGTCTCGTCTCTTAATAAAAACTATCATGAGGTAAACAAACAACCTCTAAATCATACCATCATGTTTTATTTTACTAATTTCTGTTTTAAATATCATATTCCTGATTATTTAAATTATTTAATTTAACAAAATCTAATAATAATTTGACTTTTGTGAGTGAAATGGACGAGGGAGGACGATAGGGTACGTACTAGGTGGCTGTGTTACCGTATGGGCGGCCCCACCAAAATAACAAGATCCAGCTGCACGTCCCGTCTTCTGATAATAGCTATTGAACGCGAACGATGCGTGTGCCTCTACCGTGTTAGGATCGTAACACGTGGAGCCTGGTTGAATCGAACGGCAGTCTGCACCTCCTTCCCCACACGCATAATCTAGAGCCACCTGCAGCCTCTCTTTTCCCACATCGCTTGCTACACACCAAGTCTGCCCCGAAACCGACCCGTTTGTTGGAGTTGAAACCCTCACTTGACCTCCGCCGACATCACCGGTCACCGGCGATTGTTTGTCTCTGTAATCTTTCAAATCCTCCGCCGTGAACGGAACATTGTACACCTTTTGCTGGTTCGGGTAAAACAAACCGTAATTCCTCTCCGATGACGGTCCGTTTTTATTGTTCTCGTTAAATAGTGCGAAGAGAAAAACGGTGAGATCTGCTTTCGGCCGGAGAGGTGTACCGGCGCCGGTGAGGATGCGTTTCACCAGGTTACCGTTGTAAGCGGCGGCGTTTTCGACGCTAGCTCCGACCTCGTTTTCGTCACCTTTAGACGGCCAACCAGTCTCCGTGACAACCAACGGGATATCGTCGTACTTCATCGCCGACATTGCTGCAAAAACGGCGTCGATTTGAGCGTCGAAGAGGCTGAAGTAACGTAAACCATTGCCGCCGTCGGGAACACCAGGGTTTTCACGGAAAAGTGCGTAATCGAGGGAGATGACGTCGGAGTTCGACTCGTATGCAAAATACGGGTAAGCGTTAACCATGAGATAAGATCCGGTTTGACGCAGGAGTTCGAACATGGGTTTAAAAACGGGTTCGATGAGTTCGGTTCGGAAAGATCCGGCCGAAGACGGGTACGAGCTCTGTAACGCACTCAATGCAACCGGCGACGAGATTTTGATATCGGAATGCAGATTAAATTTAACGAGAGCTTGGTGTAGGTTTTTCATGGCAGGTACTAGAAACCCGGTTGTATTCTTCGGATCGACGAACACCTCATTGCCGACGGCGATGGCTTCGATTTGCGTATGTGGATGGTAAACGGCGACATTCCGTTCGACCCATTTGTAAGCAAACGACTGTTTTTTAGCGGCGGCGGAGAGGAGCTCGTTGGGGAGGTCGACGGTGACCTTAATGCCGGATCCGGCTAATGATTTGAGCACAGCCGGGTCTGTATCGTAGACTTTAACCCGGTGGATTCCTTGAGATTTGATGAGGTTAACGACCTTGGAAGGTGATGGTAGATTGTTGGCGATTCGACCATAGTTGACGCCGATTGAACCAGCATCTGCATAAATGTAAATAAAAAAGGCATGAAATCCATGAGAAGAAATAAGTAAAGAAATAAGTAGAGAAATGGTATGTGACGGTACCTGCAAATGTAAAAATGGCGAGGAGGAAGAGTGAAAGCAGCGGTGCGACTGCCATGGTTGGTTGCTCCGAAAAGGGAGCAAAAGGAAAACGTTTTCTAAGGATAGTGGCGGGAGGTTAGAGAGAGGAGGTTTATGTTAATGGCGGATGAATCGGACCCAATGTGACCCATGTTTTATGGGAATTTACCCATCTAACCATGAGTAAAGCAAAAGCATTTTGCTTGTTCCATTAGCACGGAGTCCAACCCACATACGGTTATTTTTTCCATTTACCAAGCAATTCTTCGGTAAGTGTTTATCGATAAAATTTTATATTATTATTTTTTTATTAGGTAAGATTTTAGTTCATCAAAATAACATTATACGCAACAATTTACCTGGTAAGTGCTTACCATGGTAAGAGTCGTCGTCTTCACTTACCGGATAAGACTCTTTGTCCTTGTCTCGCTCTTACCACGTAAGATTTTTTGTTCTTATCATATTCATTCGGTAAGGTAATCTGACTTGGTAATCGCTTATCCGGATAAGCGTTTGGTAAACGGCCAAAGTAAAAAGTAGGTTTAAATGTTAATGTTTTTTAGAAAGAAATTTACAAGCAGGAGTATATTTAGTAATATTATAAGGATATTCATGGAATACAGCAAGATACATCTTGATTTTAATATTTTATTTTATTTTTTATCTCAGTCGATGCTATAATATGGTCTTATGTGATTTTGAAAAAGCGATGATATTTTTATTTTTGAATAAAATATAAATTTTATGATATCGCAAAAATTTGACAAAAAAATATCGATATTAGTATCAATTGATTATTTAAAATTCACATTTTATGTGTAATTTTTAATACAATTTTTTATTATAATTTAATCTAGGTTAATAATCAAGTAATTTATATTTGGTTTAATAATATAATTTTTTTATAAAAATAATAATTAATTATTTTATTAGAACTCGATAATTATTCTAATTATATTTTAGGTTTTTTATATTTTAAAATGAGATGTTTATTCTCTATTTGATTATATTTATCCGCTGTTAGTTACACGAATTCAAACATGAAGTTTTGATAAATTGTACTTATTCACAATTTACTTGTAATCTTGAATTTTAAGTAATATGCATCAATATACAATACTTCATGCATACAAAATAGTTTTTAAAAGTTTTTGTCAAATGTTTTATAATATAGTATAGATATAAAACATTTTTAACATCTATATGATTGTTTTAAAATAAAATATTTATAAAAAATTACATCTAATTTTAATGGTTACTCTATTTTATCAATTCTATCATTAACTATATTATTAAAATATTTAATAAATTTAATAAAATATTATTTATCTCTCTTAGACATTTAATTTTAATACCTCCTGTTAGTAAAAAATAGTTAAATATTATTTAGAGCATCTCCAATCGTTATGTTAAAATAGAAAAAAAATGAGATTTTCGCAATTTTTTTTGCTCCAATGGCTATGTTATCATGTATGTTAAAATAGAGATAAAACGATCAAAAAATATATGAACCAGACAAAATGTAACTGGATAAATATGGTGGTGACAAATAGGTGGAATTTAGTTCACATAATGGAATTTATCATGATTGAAATATGTCAAGAGGATTAGAATATAGTTTAATCATGTTTGACCATATGTTTGATTAGTAGGATTTGAAATAAAATTTGTTAAATAATTTGAATCTGTCTATTTGGTTCGTTGAATATAATAGTTGTGTTCGATGGTAGTGATGACAGCAGTTGTGGTAGTGGCGGTGGCGGTGGCAGCATTAGCGGTCGGTATTAAGGTGACGGTGGTAACAATGGTGACGACAATGCATCCATTGTGGTGGAATGGAGTATAATTACAAGAGTATGATAACTTTTTCTTAAAATATGGTACGAAGAAATTGAAGTTTTTTACTAAAACTCAAGGAATTTACGTTCTATCTGTGTGGAATTCGAATTCCTCACTAAAGCCAAGGACCAAGAATCTAACCAAGTGAAAGAAATAGCAATGACCGAAAACATTACTCGGTAGTTGAGGGAAAAGACTCTTTCCCAGTAAGCGCTTACCACCAATCCGTTTTGATGGCCGAGAATGTTATTCGATATAGTAAGTGAAGGTGGTGACTATTGGCGGCAAACGTTTACCTGGTAAGCATTTGATAAACGGCCCATAAGATTCTCTTACCATTTCTTCCGAGCGTTGATAAAGAGAAACTTCAAACCCACATTCTTCTGGATTCATTGAAACCTATAAAAGAATGCAATCCCGGTTGATAAGGAAAACGAAACAAAGAACACACGTTTAAGAAATAATACGAAGATCAATGAATTTGGTTTCTTCATCCACCTATACATATTCAGGCTATGGACATAGTGTTTCTATACGAATTCTTGGTTGGTTAGTGAGTGATCCATCTATATACTGAAAATATGCCTTGCAAATTGCGTGTCAACTCTTTTTTGAATTTCTCCTTCGCAGCTGCTTTCGTTCCACGGCTTCCGCCTGTAAAGATATTGAAAACAAATGAGATTGTTTGGTTTGGTTTGGTTGCGTACATTCCACCCCTCATACCCTAATTTCAAGTAGGATATACTGAGATTGTTTGGTTTGGTTTGGTTGCGTACATTCCACCCCTCATACCCTAATTTCAAGTAGGATATACTGAGATTGTTTGGTTTGGTTTGGTTTGCTTTACTAGATGATAAAGAAAATTACAGATAGCAACTTACTGATATCCGACTTCCAGATCCCTGTGATCCATGGCTAGGAGTCAAGAGCTGTGACCTCTGGGATGGCTGATTAATTGTTCGAGTGAACTCATGTAAGTGGTTGTATATGCTGCACATTCAAGAAATGTGAAAAAAATTAGTTGCGGTATCAGTCTCGAGTCTTACATGAATATCAGGCACAGATGGTGGCTGAACCTCTACAATCTCGACAGCTAAAAAGGTGATTATTACAGAACCAATTAGAGGAAATGGAGCAATACGCTCCGGAGGATTAGGCTGTTACTTGATTCATTGAATTGCATCGGTCAAACAAACAGCAACACTAAAGAAAAGAGTAAACAAAAATATAGCTACCATTTCTCAATGAACCACACAAGCAGTCTAGTGACCGAACTTGTATCTAGACTTTTTTTGGATGGGTCGGAGGAGAGAGACTGTCACCAGAGCACAGTGAACCAAAACAATACTTCCTTCATTCATGATTCATTCATCATGCAGTTTGCTTATAATTTGTAAACATGCTTAGAACTAAAAAAATTTATGGCTAACAAGGAAGTTGTAGGTGATGTACACCATGTTCTTTTTTTTCTAGTGAAGATAAATCAGTGCACGACTTATTTTCTTCTGCTGCCGTTTAGGATTAAATTCTGAATCACAGTGATGAGGATCGAAGGGTGTAGGGAAAGCATGCCATTCAAGTATTTCAAGGTCAATCTTTTAATAGTATTTTGCAGCATTAGGCTTTACAATTATTTAGGAAAAACAAAAAACAGGATTTTTTTTCCTTCAATTTTTAGCATATTTGTATTTCTCCCTTTCACACTTTTCACTTAGAGGGGTCTTCACAGAAGCAGTCGCTCTACTCTTTCAGGTAGAGGGTAGGTTTGTGTACATCTTCCTTCCCCCCCCCCCCCCTTCTTCCAATGGGATATATTGGGCTCCTTTGGTTTGATTTGGTAAAAATCAGAATTTTTTATGAAGATGTTGTCCCCCTGCACTTTACCCTTACCCTTGGGTAGAGGAAAGGTTGCGTACATCTTACCCTCCCAGACTCCGCTTTGCGTGGGATTGACAGGGTTGGTTTGGTTTAGTTGTCCCCCACTTCCCCCCCCCCTCTCTCAAGTAGTTGCTTGAAAGATATTTTTTTTTTAACTTGTGAGGCCATTTAGCCAAATTTTCTAGAATGTTAAAGAATTTAACTCTAGATAACTAGTGGGGTGCCAGTGCTCTTCTGTAAAAGTTTTTTGATGCTTTACTCCTGTCATATCCTTATCCTTTTACACCTTCCCCCACTCCCACCCCCACCCCCACCCCATAAAGGCAAAAAAACCACCTTTGAAGCACCTCATGACCTAAATTTTACAAAGGATCTGGAATAGGGAATTAACCAACAAAAATACAATTCAGGAAGGCTACCACAAGTACTTTTCTTGGGATGGTGAGACTTCAGTCAAGGTTATTAACCCACCCAGTTGAGTGGAAAACAAAGATGCCAGCAGTAGTGTGCAACAGTTTTCCAAAAGATCACATATGAATAACCAATCTAACCTTAATCGATGTCTATTGCAAGCTGTAAAGAATGCAACAAAGCCGTTTAAGATACTCCGAAGAGCACGGAAAACCTACAATAAGAGGGAAATTTTGTAAGCACAGGAACTGCAAATGAGGCCTCTAATAACAGAAAGAAAAAGAAAAAGAAAAAGAAACAAGGAGGAAAAGAAAGACAAAGAAGGAAAAGTCTAGAAGTTTCAATCACCTGGGAGAAGAGGTCATTCCAAAGAGAACGCCAGATAGAAACCTCATAAGTGTTCACAGTTGCCTCAGCATTTGAAGCTAACTTGAAGATGCCACTCACAAACAGCCATATGTCTCCAACTAAGTCATAGATGTTGTTATAGACATATCCCACAAAGTCGGATAGACCTAGAATGAGACGAATTGGAGCATAGAGTATCCCCCAAAGGAACCAAAATATAGGATACATAACTGTTGTTACTGCAACCAGCACAGATTGATAATATTCAAATTATTAGCAAAATGTATAAAAACACACTGCTTCTTGAACTTATTAAGAATTAAATGATTTATTTATCAACCGCTTATAAGATAATTAACTTACCAATCGTCCAGATAACTGACAAAGTGAACCACACAGGAACCAGTATGACCTCAGTTAGATTCTCCACTAGGTCCCAAGAAGTTTCCATCAGAATCCAAATGAACGAGCCAAAATACTGTGCGATCTGGACAAATAAGTTCCAAAAGGGAAGGAGAACCTCTAGAAAATCCAGAAATGGCCCAGCTAAAGGTTGTGTGATAATTGAAACAAATGATCGCACAGTGCGAGTCATCATCAAGAACCACATAACAGCCTTCTCAGAGTTGTGCAGAAACAGCATAGTTCCCAAGTATTTGATCCTTGATACCATCTCCCATGTTTCTATCCAATCAAAAAGTGGCCCACATAAACGGGAAGCAGTTGCCTTAAGAACTGGGACATTTTTGTACAAATCATAGAAACCAATGACAACCGTAACAATGGAAATTACCACATATAGAGCTCTTGCTAGAGGACACATCCATGGACGATAGATATGACAAAATACAGGGTAAGACTGAAAGAAAATCACCCAAGAGGGAAGTCCAGCCTCTAATAGAGTAAGTAATCTCAAATCAGATACTATTATTTCTTTCAAGTCAAAAGGGAGGTCACGGTCGTTGAACCGGAACAAAAGTAACACATCCCTGTACTCGGTAGCTTCCGCTGTTTCATCACAATCACTTGCGTAGGAGGAGGGCATTTGTGTGCAAACAGCTCCACCATGAGCTACTTCAGTATAAAAATTGGCCTCAACATCAACGCCCTCAGGATTCATCAGTTTCCTTCTCTTATAGGGTCCAGTGGGAGGAGGTGTTTGTAGTATACTTGTTTGGTCTTCTAAACTTTCTAGTTGCTCACCAAGATTGCTACAAGGATTGCAGGGAGATGCATTCTCCCCCCTGGCACTAGCATTTGAGGTTTTTTCATCGCCATTTGTGCTGCAGCAGTCTGGAAATTCTTTAGGAGCATCATGGAACATGTCTCCTGGAAAGATCTCAAACAAAAAACAGTAAGCTATTTCTGAAGCACTTGAAACTTTTTGCAACGACATAAGAAAACCAATTTATCCTGAAACTTATGGTAGCTTAGACCACTATGTAGAACCAGTAGTTTGTCTTGAAACTAAGCCTACAATATGCTTCTAAGTATTATGTATTTTAATATCAATACTGGTCCCTGACATGGGAAGGAATGGTGCTCACTTCCACTAGATTCATGTCATGGATAACAAAGGTGAGGATGAAACCTGCTACTTAAAAATCACCAGAGGGACTATTATATTTGCCAGATAAATAAATACAAGAATTACAATGAGACCATCAAGCTTATAGGTCAACAAATTGGCAGGTCATAGATAAATCAAGTACTATCAATCAGATAAATAATTTGATACACTTTCTTATGTGCTCCACTTAAGGTCAATAGAACAGAAAAGAGAGGTATGCTTCAGACCTCACACCCATGGTTCATGCATCAAGGTTAAAAAACTCTTTTTGTACATAATGCAATTAGCAGGTCTTTTTCATCCCCATTAAAATAAAGTAAATAACAATAGTAATCCAAGTGAAGGCATGCAATTAGCCTAGTTTTGTTAATATAGCAAACAAGAATAGAGACAACATTAAAACAAACTCCATATCAATCATAATTACAAAAATGCTTCCTTGTAAGAATAGACATAGGGGAGCTCGATAGTACCCAATCCCCAATTGATTCAGATTTCAGAGTTCCTCAAATGTCATGTTTTATTTCACCATAGGACATGATCATCCAGAATAAAGGTGAATCTGATATCATAGCCTGACAGACAAATATAATTGCTATGCATCTCATAGTCCCCAAGTCTAACCCTTGGAAGACCACAGTTTACTTGAAGTGTCAAAAGCTCAAGTCCCTTCTAAACAGCAAGTCATTTGCTTCAAGTACTTGAGCCCTAATAAGATCCAGGAGGTGTTTTCTCAAATTTTTATGCATATCAAAGCAGCTCAACCTTTGTCCTAGCTAGAATTTATTCAGAGCATAAACCCTAATTTCTGTTTGCCTGGTTAAGTCTACAAAAGCACAAAGGCATGAAGTATGTACCTTCAAGATTGGCATGTGTAGTAGATGTTGGACTCATTTAAAAGCAACTAAGGTAAGCAAATATAACTTTTTGTGCTCCTAATTCAAATAACATTACCTTCAGCACCGAACTTCCTTCTCTAGTTAAATTGTAACCTTCATGTTAATTGGAACTACAAACTAGACTATGACTTGAGAATGTACAAAACTTCTTAAACACAACCGGCTGTCCAGCTCACAAGCAAATGAGTGAGAGGTTCACTATATTTGCACATAAGTGAGAAAGAAGGTCATTTCCAACATCCTATATATTTAGGAAAAACAGCAGTAAAAAGATTTATTAAATATAGATTAAAGAAAAATCATTGGGTTATTAATTGCATACCTAACATAGAATTTAGATGCTCTTCCAAGAGAGATCGTTCAGACGGTGTCCCTGGAAACCATGAAGTTATGCCTTTAGCTGATTGAGCTATGCTATCAAATTCCCATCTCTTCATGTATTTAGCCTCTACAGCGAGAGACGTATCAGTCTGCTCGTGGAATAAACCCCATTCAGATATTAAGCCACCACCAAAGTATATAGAGAAATAAGGCAAGAGGTACCTGAAGCTCATTCAAGTAATTGATACCACGAACATCTTTCCACGTCACTTGAAAGACAATGAAACCATACAAGGTTCTGTGCAATTTGCTATTTGCAAGCAAGGAACTCCTGAGTTTCTTGACAGGCAGCAAGGCCCTCTTTCTTGATAGTGTTGCAGCATTAACAACCGAGAACCATTTTTTCAAGTTTTCGGACCGGCTTGAAGCTTTAGAACGGACCTTCTGGTCAATGAACTCTGCAGTCTCTTTCCTCCCCTTCCTCCCTTTTTTCCCTCTTGTGTTTGCAAAAGGGGACATCCTTGACTAAAGACATGATCAAGAAGAAAATCACGAATTTATAACACAATTGTAGCTTATATTATAACATCAGATAATTGTTAAGATGATCCAGACTTCTATATGACCTTGGTAACCATCAGCTGCCATAGGTGCGCAGGCCTAGATGCCAAATCTTCCAGCCATGGCCTATTATCCACCAATACATAAAACGTCTTACTATCGGGGGCCAAGAAAAGGCTAAGATCCGAAAGATATGACTGCAAATCCCTGTAAGGAAAGAAAAATGCAACGATTAAATCTGATAAAACTTCAATTGGAAAACTGCAAATACCCATTTTTACAATACAAACGAACCATGGTATGGTATCCCACCCGATCGGTAGGATGTAATCAGACATTACCTCTACCAATTTCTACAAACTAATCAATTCCAGTTAAAATGATGAACTATATCTGTTATTTCTTTGGATGTCAAAATGCAGCTTCTCAAATTTCAAATTTCTTGAGAACAACATGCTGACTAGGTTGAACTTCATACCACCAGAAATAACAATTGTGTGTGAATTTACACCATACCTTTTATCAATTTGTTATCAAGAAACCTAAATCAGACATCAAAGTTTTAAAGCTGACCTCTTTGTATTATTCTATATTTTTAGGGAAGGAGTATCTAACAAAAATATATTTTAAAATTTTACCACAAATCATTTTAAACTCAATATTGCTAAATCAAGTGCATTGATAAAGAGAAACGGTCCATACCCTATCTGGAAACTGATTAAAGGATAAAGCTGTCGAGAACTATCGCATCTCCTCATGTAAACCACGCTCTAACTCCTGCTTAAACTCGATTACCCAAAATCAAAGTAAAAATCTTATTAGCTTCTAAGAGAAAAAAAATTAAGCGTTAAACACACAAATTCAATGCAGACACATAAATAATTGTAAGAATAATCAAATAAATTCAAACCTGAAGATACTTGATTAAGCCAGTAACGCCATGAGTATTGCAATAAGCTAGAAGAAGGAAAGGGATAAACACTGCCGAACTTCATAACCAAGAGAGAGATCACGCCACACGAATCAAAGCAGCCATAAGTAACCCAACCACTTATGACGCTGCTGATAAAAAGAATGGGAATCCAAATTCGTCGATGATAAATACAATATTAGGTAAAATCCTTCTTCCCTTACGCTCTCAGACAGAAAAACACGCTTCACTGTATGTATCTGTCGCCATCAAATTTGAAAAGAAAGGGAAATTTTGGAATAACTTCGAAATGAAGGCTTGTGCGGTGGAACTCGTCAACCAGACGTAGGCGACGAAACAAGGTTCAATGGCTGGGAAAGACAAAGATGAGGGGGGAGAAATGTGAATTGAGTTAGAGGCATGAAACTTCTGCCGCCATGGACGTCTGAGAACGACGCCGGAATAACCAAGTCAATGCTAAAGATGCCCACCGAAATACCGAATAAAACCGGGCAGCATTCGCGGGGTGGGAATGCTACCATGTGACTCACGTCCATGGTATCTTATGGTATTCATTTGGACCCAAGAAACCCCTCATTTAAGACAAATAGCTAGATAAATGCCCTTTTAATGAGGTTTTTGAGATTGTTTATAAAAATAGTTTATTGATTTATTTTGGTGTAACATTGATAATAAGTATTTTGAGTATTTGGATAAATAATTTATATTAATATCAAATCAGTAATAAAAAGTTTTTAAATAAAAAAAATTGTTCTAACTTATAATAAGTTGATAAACACTTTTATAGAAAAATATAGTTGTTTCAAAAAATCAAGACATGACTTAAAAGCCCTTCTATATAACACACACACACATATATTTTATATTTACCAATTGAATAATTCATACAATACTGAAAACAAGTTCATTAAAATATAAAAATACAATGTTTATACAATATTATTTTATATGTAAAAGTGTTCAGTATTTTTTCCATAATAAAATATTCATGAATATTTAATATATGAAACAATGTCGTATAAACGCTGCATTTTTTTACACGAGTTGTTTCATATGTGAAATAACACATGAAAATTGATTTGTAAGTTGTATTACTTAGTGGATTTATAAATGATTATGTTTATATATATATATATATATATATATATATAATGGGAAGTTTAAATAAAAATATTAAATGTCATGAGAAAGTAAAAACAAGATATTCATATAAATCATTGAAAAAATCTAAAAAATCTATTTGATTATACATAAAGAATCAACTTTTTGTATTTTTATAGATGCCCTTGTATTTTCTAAAACTCCAAAACACCCCCTAAAAGTTTAAAATACACATCTTTCACGCCCAAAAAAAATTAATTGCGAAAATTGTTGATCCCGTGGGTCCTTTGTAAGGGGGTTATTTGCCAATTTTGGAAACATAAGATGTAGAAAGGAATAACTCATAATATATAAAGGAGGGTAAGTGTAAGTATGGTATGCCACGCGTGATCTCCTATCACTTTGTGTGCAAGATATGATCTTATCGTGTAATGCTAAATATGCCTAAATTTGTCCATCCACTCCGATCAAGACACATGTCAATTATAATATTTTTTTTAATTAAGATCTCAAACCCATTATACGAACTGATTAATTTTAAGACGACCAACTGTTTTACAAGTAGTTCGGAGTCATAATATTTAAACTTTCCTAGTTACAAGATATTTTTTATTCCTCCTTAGATTTGAAGGCACTTTTGACCTTTGGAACTGAGGCTCAAACCAATCAGACACCATTCTTATGGTTATAAAGTCTTTTTTTATTTCAAGTTATTGTCGTTATATCAAGTATTTTTTAAATTATTCGTGACATTATACGATTTTAATTTATCAGTTATTTTTTCTATTAAATTAAATATTATAGTAACATCTTTTAGATAAATTAAGTAAAACTTATTTTTATTTGGAACAGTAATGACCTCTTGTAGCTAATTCATTTTTGAATTAGTCGGCTCGCATAGCGGGTTGGATATCCAGGTTAATCAAAAAAAAATTACATAACATATAACAGTGTTGAGTTTCGATAAGAATAGAAGTTATGATGAGAAATGTAAGAAGTGATCTTCACCTTTTGATCAATTCTAATTGAAGTGAACCACTACATCAACACTAATGAGATACACTAAACCAATTCCCTTCCAAATCACAATTCACGGGTTCTTTTGAGATTAAAAGTGATCAAGGGTCCAAATTCATTCTTACAATTCTCACATTAACGTCTATTCTTACACAATCTTCCGTCACATACAATATTTTTGTACATGTACTTGCATTTTCTCTTTGTGATCGTATATATACTTTTATATTGAAATGCAAAATTATATTCACATTATGCGTATAATTTTTAGATGTATTTGGTATGATTCGATTGGAAGGATATGGGGTGGAATAAATAGGGGTTGGTATGTAAAAAGGTAGGACGGGTGGATATGTGTCGAATAGGGGGTGGTACGTAAAAAGGTCCCCTCCATGTGTCCATCTCTTATAATAATTGAAAACTAACATACGGAATATCATATTTATGTGAGAAATATATGGAATATGCACTACTTTTTTAAAAATGCCATTGAGAAGAAAATATACATATTGCAACATATATAGGCGAATTGGTTACAGTCTAGTCGATGTGGAACCATTACATGCCCCTCCTATGGAGGCTAGACGAACACGATTCACGCATTGTCCTATTATGTCAAGATCCCAAAGAATAATTGAATCCTAAAAGTGATAGACACTTACTGTGATACCATGTAATAATAAGTGGAACCTCTGTATTACTCTTTTAAAAACATCCAAAAGATTTTAATACATAAACATATAATTGGAAAGTTTAATCAATACAAAAATCTAATTATTTAAATATTATTAATTAAAAATAAAATATTTAAACCTTAATTTAAATGTTATAGATTTAGTGGAAATTATATTAATAAAACATTTGTATTATAGAAATGTGATCCTGGTGGTGGGACCTAACAAAAAGTTGTCTCTTGTGTATAATTTAATTAAAGTAAAAATATGGTCATGTTAGGTATTGATTGCCTTAGATTCTTCACATTATACCTTATCTTAATTATTAAATTTCATAAAAAAAATAATATAGTTTAACTTAATTCTTATTTTGGATAATGTATTTTTAAAACTTTCATTCTGATACCTAAAATGTAAAGTTTTAAATATTTAAGTATGTGGGTAACCAGTTGAAGCATTCACCGGTTATCATGTTGATGTGGTATCTAACTCAGTATTATTTACTCACATGGTCAGTAACATGGATTTTTTTAAATCTAAAATTAGTTTTTTTCTAATCTAAAATTAGTCTTCAACCGGTTATCCGGGTATTTAAATGTTTAAAATTTTACATCTAAGGTACCAAAATGAAAGTTCTGAAAATACGTTACCTAAAATATGAATCAAGTTAAAGTATGTTACTTTTTCATGTAATTTGTCTTTTTATATATTGATCATGTAAAAAATAACAGTTTCATAATAGTCATAATCTTATAATTAAATGCATAGAAATGTTTTAATTTATGTGTTCTTTAAAATATTCAGTTTTGATTGATTGTTGATTTTAGTTAATTTTGATTTTAACTGATATTAAATAGTAAATATTTGGTTTGATCAGTTTTTCTCCCAATTAGACAGCATTGTGTTGTTGGACACGAAAAGTTAGTAGTTTAGAATTCGTTAGTATGACTTGAATGTCTGTAAGAAATGATTAGAGTTTATTAATTATGACCAACGTTTTATATTATGAGACTAAATATTCATTAGACTAGATGTACGATTGAGATTGATTTGAATAATTTGTAACATTTCTATGGTTTCTATTTGACTGGAGGTTCAAATCCTTCCGACCCAGAGCATATCCATTGTATCTGAATATAGCTTTTTTGTTCAACGAGATTATGTTTCAAGGCCTAATATTGGATAGAATTTAATTCTTCTTTCTTTTCTGATTTTGAATGATTCTTTTCGTAATCATATCTCAGTTTTTTCACAAACTAAACTAAATCTGGTCTAAATATTGAATCCTTTTGTGATCCAGATAAGATGGGACATAGATCACAGTTGCAGAAAAGATTACTTAACTTTAGGTTAAATAAAATATGAAAATACATATAAAACGAGGAAGTGTTTAGCCTATAGGCATGTATTGTTATCCTATTTCAGTGACAATAGTCATTTTATTTATGTGAAAAATAATTTGCATCCCTGAAATATTAAAATATCTCTCTCTCTCTATCTCTCTCTATATATATATATATACACACACACTAGAAGGGTACTCACATAATGCAGCAAAATACATTTCGATTTTAATCTTTTGTTTTATTATTTGTCTTTGTCGATATTATAATACGATTTTATGTGGTTTTGAAAAGACAATAACATTTTTATTCTTGAATAAAATTTAAAATATCATAAAAAATTTACAAATATATTTAAATTATATCAAATTAACTATTTAAAAAGTTCTCATTCTTTTGTGTAATTTATTTAATTCAATATTTTTTTATTATTATTTAACTTTAGATTAATAACGAAGTAATTTATTTTTTGTTTAATAATATAATTTTTTATAAATATAATAAATAAATATTATGTTAGAATTCGATGATTATCCTTATTATATTTTAGATTTTTTATATTTAAAATGAAATGTTTATCTTGTATTTGATTATGTTTATTTGCAGCAAGTTACACAAATTCAAATATAAAACTTTAATAAGTTGTACTTACGTATAATTTGCTTGTAATATTGAAGTTTAAGTAATATTCATCAATAAACAATACTACATGCATAAAAATGGTTTTTAAGAGTTTTTGTCTAATGTTTTATAATATAATATAGATATATAGGGAAAGGTTCACTTGATAAGTGGTAAATATTGAGAAGTAAAGAAGTGATCATAACCCTTCGTCTGATCAACATTTGCGGCTTTGATCGTGACGTACCAGATCATTTATCGCATGAGTATGTGGAAGATAAATGGGTAGTTTCGTAACTTTTACAAATAGGCGGCAAAATGGTTCATATGTGAATCCATTAATTAGTTCGCATATAAAATATTTAACTGATTCACACACACACACACACACACACACATATATATATATATATAAATCAGTTAATTAGTTTATATGTGTATCAATTAATTAGTTCATATTTGAATCAGTTAATTAATTCATATGAATCGCATATGTCCATATGTGAACCCGTTGCCCCCTACTTGTAAAGTTACGAAACTACCCTCTATATTTTTCGTATAGACGCAATTTTTTACCAGTCAAAACCGTAATTATTGAACAATCAAATCCGATCTTAACAGTAGGAAGGGCTAGAATAACTTATTTACTTCTCATATATTTACCACTTCTCAAAATAACTTTTCACTATCTGTATTATCTTATTAGGCAAG